CCACACACACACACACACACACACACACACGTGATAAAAGAGCTTTTGGCTTTTGTGGTCGTGTGCGCATGCCGAGCGTGTGATGACCTCCATGACCCCCGCCACCTCCATCAGTGGGATAAGCTCCGCCTTCACGCAGTAGCTGAGACGACGCGTCAGCGTTTCCAACAGGGAACAGTAGGGCCACAAGGTGTCCAGCTCCTACACACACACACACACACACACAGAAGCTCATGCGTGTGTGAGCTTTTAGTGTGTTTCTATGTTTTTGTGTGTGTGCGCTCGACCTGCGTGAAGTGCAGCACGCATGAGCAGAAGGCGGCGGCCGAGTTGAGCAGCGACTGGATGAAGCCGCGAGTGAGCTGGAACTTTTGGGCCACGCCCCAGACGTCACCGTCCTTCAGCAGTGACATCAGAACCAACGACAAATACACGCGCTTCACCACCCACATGTTGGCACTCTGTACACAAATGAAGACATTTATACATACACACAAAAATATAAACACACTCACACATGCTTACATTTAGATCCACACACAAAAAAACGCACAAACATACACTTATACACAAACACACACACATTCATTAATGCACAAACACACAAAAAACACACACAGACTCACACAAATACATCTGAACAGATGTGAAATATAAATACATTTACACACACACACACACACACACACACACACACACACACACACACACACACACACACACACACACACACACACACACACAGACGCAAAAGACGTGTGTGTGGGTGCCTCCTGCTGGCCGTGTTAGTCATTGCATGCCTGTCCCTAGCAAACACGACCTTGTTGACGCTTTGTCCAGCCGCCTTCCTGGCCACCAAACTTTCTGGAACACCCACCATCGCGCACATTTTCAGCTCCGACGATGACAACAACGACATCTGCCACACAAAGCGCCTCCAAGTCATCCCCGAATCCTTTTCTCCTGCTACTCGGAAAGGCTTGAAGCCTGAAGCGGGATTAAGAGAAGTCTATCAGTCCTTTTCCATCAGAGGTGATAAGTAAGGTGGAGAGTGGGGAGGAAAGAAAAAAAGGTTTTTAAACCCAGGAACATGCCACACATCATTCTTTTAATACTGCCGGTATTAAAAAAAGAAGGGAGCTAGCTTAGCAGTCAGGAATTGTTTAAAATTTCACTGTGACTCACGTCCACGCAACCTGAGCGGGCACGTACAGACCACACGCACACAGACACGCAGACAAACAGAACCATCATTGAGTGTAGAAAGTCATCCAGTCCGGTGTGCAGGCGGCGGCGAGGTCGTACGGGGTCACCAGGAAGATCAGGTGAAGAAAACTGCTGAGCAGAAGGCCCTCCAGGCCTTGCTGGAGGTCCTGGTACAGAATTTCACTGTGACTCACGTCCACACAACCTGAGCGGGCACATACAGACCACACAGACACGCAGACAAACAGAACCATCATTGAGCTTAATGATAACGCACAATGCAAAAACGCCATAGAGGGGCTAACGAACAGCATCATGAGCGGGTGTGACGCATCTGCTGACGACGACGTACCTTTAAAAGTGGCCCGGCCCAAGTGCGTCACTTGTAAGGCGTGGCCTTGCACATGCAGAAGACCTTTGATCTTGAGAAGGTCAACGCTCTCCCGCAGGACATCCTCCAGACACACGCCGGCCCGCTCGCGCTGCACAAACAGCAGCGTCCCGCGCACAAAGTCCTCCAGATCCTCCGCGCGCGACGCCACCTGACGCGCAAGCCGCACGTCAACCACGCTCACTTTGATATCCACATGCAAGGACATTTGTATTTCAAACTCATTCGGTACCAGCCAATTCTGGACCAAGTCTGAAAAGACGTTTAAAAACGTCTTTGGGAGTGAATGACACACACACATATACGCACACGCGTAACATGCGGACGTTACTTTTAAGCCCACGAGGGAGAGGATGAGGCTGAGTAGGCTTTTGCGGTCGTCGGCGAGGAGGCAGCTGTAACAATTCTCCACGGGGGCGCACAACAGCGCCTTGGCCTGAAAGCACACCCGCGCACACGCCCGCGCAGTGAGGTGACAGGAAACGAGGACGTCAGCTGACGGGAAGCCGCGGGCGAACCTGGTCGCGCTGCGCCTCTTGCAGGATGAGGATGCTTTCGCCCTCGCTGTCCAGCCCCGCCCGCCCGGCGCGACCCGCCATCTGCTTGTACTGACTCGTCTTGACCGCGTCCCGCGCCATCAGCGGCGAGCGTACGATCACTCTGCGTACGACAACGTCGTCATCACTTCATGACTCGGCCGTGACATCATCGCCCGGATGAGCGTATAACAATTTCCGTCCCTTGTTTGAAAAGCAGGACGTTGTTTCAAATTGGGAGGGCAGAAATTGACCTTCGCGCAGGCAAGTTGATGCCGGCGGCCAGCGTGGACGTGCACGCGATGAGGCAGAGGACGCCAGCGGAGTAGGCGTCCTCCAGCAGTTTCCTCTCGTCGCCCGTCAGGCCGCTGTGATGGTAGGCCACGCCCAGAGGGACCGTCCTCCTCAGAAGCGGGCATAGCTGACCGTTTCCACACTCCTTCAGCTGGCGCAGGAGCGCTTCCTTGTCCTCCTGCCGATGCTGCAGGAAGTCCCTGTGGGGGACGGACGACATGACGTGGCGGAGGCGGCAAAGATGGCGGCGGCGGCGGCGGCCTCACCGTCGGAGGTATTTGCAAATCATGACAGCCACGTTCTCGCAGTTCTTCTTAGTGGGACAGAAGACCAGACAGGAATGTTTGGGGATCACCTCCGTCACCAGCGCGATGATGTGGTCCGGGTCCACCTTCTGCATGGCGCTCGAGTACTACACGCACACACACACACAAAAAAAAACTTCTACACACCCGAGAGCAACACGCAAAACTGCACGGCACATACTTTCAACTCCACACGACGACACAAGCGGAAACACTCTTCCTCCTTGGGGTCCACCTCATAGATGCCATCGCCCAGTTTCACGTACTCTTTCAGACGCACCTGAACGCAGCACGGAAGACGTCGCATGACATCGTCGCGATAGAAGTAAAATGATATTGGACTTATTTTCTTTCAAGTGCATTGTCTGTTGCAAAAAAATATACTGAAGAGACTCACAGGTCGAAAGTCATTATGGTAGTTTTCAGCCTTGAGGAAGGTCTGCAGCTCACCGATGTTCCCCAAGGTGGCGCTCATGCCGATGATCTGTGTGTCTTCTGTCGCCACCAAAACAAAAAATAAATAAATAAAAATAAAAACATGACGTCGTCATCGACGCAGCAGCGGCGGCGGCAATGGCACACTTACGGCTGAGATGCAACACTTTGGCCAGGGTGATTTCCAGCAAAGCGCCTCGACTCCCCTCGCCGAGCATGTGCAGCTAAACGGACACAAAAGGAGCACGACGGGTTAAAAATACGCTTAGCTTCGGTACAAGTACACATTTCGGAAAAAAAAAATAAAAATTCAATCAAGTGAAATTAAAAGTACTGACAATCAACTGTATGTGGACCTTGAAAACCCAAAGTCACATTTGTCCTCGTTTTGTTTGGACCTTGCTACTTTCTTTCCAAGCTTTGAAGACGTGGGCGCCACTCACCTCGTCCACCACCAGGAGGCCGACGCGTGACAGCGCGCCCTCCTCGATGAGCGCATTGACCAGAGCGTGCGCCTTCTCGATGGTGGCCACGTAGAGCGAGCGCTTCCCCCTCCTATTGACGGGAGGGAACCTCCCCTTGCTCCCGGCATACTCCTCCACCAGGAAGTCCAGCTCCAGACCCAAGCCCGCCAGCCCGCGAACCTCCGGGGGGGTAAATCGGGACGGTTTTTAGACATCCCTCCGAGCCAGTAGCTGCGGTTGCGACCGTTACCTTCTCTTGGACGAGGGCCACGTACGGCAGGACGAAGATGCAGTTGTTATTCCTGCACAGCAGCTCGCGGATCATAAGCAGCTCGGCCACCAAGGTTTTGCCGCCACTGGTGGGAAGCGTGTAGATCAGGTTCCTCCTTGCCGACACGCAATCCAGACCCAAACACGTCTCCTGCCATGCTGCCAACGCACACGCAAATACACATTATGGCGTTCACGTCATGGCATGTCGATGCCCAATGACATCATCCCATGAGGAAAATGATTGTTGTCATTTACGGGGTGCTGTGACGTCGTTTACGATGATGTCATGTCGTGTGAGGTGATGTCATGTGCTTGATGACATCATGTGATACAGTATGCGACTTCATTTTTGTCTTACACGTCATGTCACGGAATGTAATGTCGTTTCACGTGATGTCATGTCGGATGTTTTACATGTCACGTGATGCGAGATCCTATCATTAGTATGCGACTTCATTTTTGTCTTACATGTCATGTCACGTCGTGTCACGGAATGTAATCTCGTTTCACGTGATGTCATGTCGAATGTTTTACATGTCACGTGATGCGAGATCCTATCATGTGACATCATGTGAAATGATGGCTTGCGTCGTAGCGCGTGGTGCGATGTCATCAGTAGTCATGTGACGTCATCAGGCCATTTGTTGTGATGTGACATTATGTTATGTGTCGTGTGATGTCATGACACATGTTGTGGGTCCTGTGATCAGGTGCGAGCAGTGACTCAATGCCGCGTTACCGTAGAGGCTGCGGATGCCCCTGAGCGTGAAGAGGAGGTCTTTGACTTTGGCGGGGAGTCCAAAAAAAGGTCCCAAGTCGTTGGCGTCCGCACGAGCGGCCTCCACGGCCCGAACGGCGCCGCCGATCTCGTGACTAAGCGCCGCCTCCTTCATGGCCGCGGAACGGGAGGGGCCGGCGGGCGCCGTCGCGTTGCTTCGCAGCATCTTCTTCACGCGCTCGCTCATGCTTCTCCTCATCGTGCTGCCGTGCCGCTTCCTGTCTTCTGGGCTTCCGTGAGGGGTGGAGCTTCTGTGCATTTTGCACCTCTTGGCTTCCTGCCAACCGTGCTGCGAATTCTCCCGCGCCACGTCTGTGTCCGGTGCGTCCACAGCGGAGTCAGCGAGGAAGCAGTCTTCTCCGGCGGGTCCAACAGCCATCATCTTGTCGGCCTGTTCCAGCTTGGCCAGCAGGGACTCGTCGTCCAGGAAACTGTCGTAGTCGCCAAACAAATCCTCGCTGTTGCTGCACTGATGGACGCAACAACAACATGTCAAGACAATTTCAGTTTTATTGACACCCCACACTGAGCATGCCAAGAAGCACAGGCAATCTTGCCATCTTCTCTGAACCACTTTTTGTGACATACACTCACCTCTGCCAACGATTCTGCTGGTTTGATTTTTTTGGGGAAAGTTTTTGTCATGGTTGCAGTTCAGATCAGTGTCAGTCATTTACTTACCTGTCTCCTTCTTATTGTTTACTAACCTTCTCACTTGTTCCACAAACACATATTTGATTAATACATTGATATTCATTCAAGCCCACACGGAATTACCTCCAGTTGCTGCTTGTCATCCATGATGATAATGATGAAGCCCTTCTTACTTTAAAGCCGTCTTTCCTTTCTTGAATTTGTTTTTGTCAAAAATTAATTTCATCATTTCGTTTACTTGGTGTGCACGCGACCCGCCGGTACCCGCATGCTACAAAGTCAGCGAAAACGTATTCGTTACCATCATTATACGTGCTAGACCTTATTGTGCAGCGAAGCCTAACACCGTGCAGACACACAATTGATAAACTTGTACTTTTTATCTTGAAATTTGAATTTAAAAAAAAGAGACCATCACGGGTTCAAACGGGTCTTAGGTAACAAACACCACTTTGCTGTTGTTGAACTCACAAAACACCCACAATCCTGTCCGAAAGCCGCAAGAACATTCGTAAAATATGCACATATTCCCGTGGCAGGTAGGTGGTAAACTGGAGGTTTTCGTGAAATGTATCGAGTTGTTGTGACAAATGAGTGACGTCAGGGCTCACTTCCGGTCTCGCTTCGCGATGGTCATGTGGCGCCTCACTCGACAAAGCAGAAGGGAGAAAAATATATTTCAAGAAATAGTTTCGCAGAAATTATGAAATAATAATAAATAAAATAGAAGAAAAGAGGTAAAATATCAGGGACTAAAAAGTACCAGTATGAATATGAAAAAAAAAATCAGTAGGGAACTTGCAAAAAAAATCTACAGGAACGAAAAAAAAAGCACGGACTTAAATATATCCGATGGAACAGAAAAAAAATAGTGGGTCGTAAAATAATCTATATGATTTTATTTTTAATTAGTCGGAAAAACAAAAAAAAGTTTGAAATGTGACCGTACAGGAAGTACATGAGTACAACTTCCGGGTCGTATTAGGTCGAAATGTTCCATCTAAAGCGATCACGATTATTATTTGGTGTCTTTTCACGCCTCCAAAACGCGAGCAAACCGACAGGTTAGCATTGTAACTCATGGTAAATGTCAATGTTTGTTGTGTTCGCTCAAATGCTAATGATAACCCTCTGTGTTGTTGTGCTGCAGCTTTGACCAGCGCGTCCATTTACCAAGACCAAGTCAAACACAACCCGGTGAGTTGCCCACTGCTTCTTTCGTCTCTCTTTCGACAATATTCGAGACATGACGACACGCTCCCCTTGTCATCTACGATGGTAGTTCGTCAAGATGGACAATCCCTACAAGGAGCCGCACAAAGGGTGCATCCTGTGCAACGTCACTGTTGACTTCAAGAACATCCAGGTAGGTTCTCAATTTGGTCTTCGACACGTGCAAGAAAATTGTATGTCACACCATTTTGGGAAAAAAATGCATCGAAATAAATTCACCACCAGATAACCTTTTTAAAACCCCACAAAAATTATTCAATGTTGATACACATTCAAAATGTATCTTCCACAAAAAAAATCTCACATTTTAAATATACTCCCCATCACAATTGAAAGAAAAACATCTGCAAATATGCAGAGTTTGATGAATGTTTTTTCCGAGTTATTTTTTCCTCACTCATTTGCCCACAGCAATGTCACACACATTCAAAGTCAGATACTTCTCTGTACTGTGTACAATGTGAGGATTGCGACCCCAAGTGGGCAAAAATAGCACCTGCACCGCACATCCATATTTCGTATCAGTATTCTGCCGAAAGCTTAAGATGATCATCATTTTCCACGCGAAAACCTAAACGTGGCCTTTGTGTGCAGCTTCTCTCTCAGTTCATCTCGCCGCACACGGGAAGGATCTACGGCCGCCACATCACAGGTAAGCCCCGCCCACAAGTCACAGGAACCTACCAACATCTGACTGGATGTGATTTGATCAGGAACCAATATCCGATTGTGTTAATTTCAGGCTTGTGCGGGCGCAAACAAAGAGAAATCTCCAAAGCCATCAAGAAGGCGCACGCTATGGGTAACGCTACAACACACAATTTTTTTCCCCCCACATCTTACAATGCATGGCCGCCAACTCAAGCAGTGGTGCGATGCACGTAGACAGACACAACTCACAAGCTCATTCTTTATCCTCTTCGAATAACAACTAATTTTATTGCAGAGTACTTGACAGCCCCCAGACTCCAAAGGCGCACAATCGTCATCGAATCGATGCAAAATATATGGCAATTTTTTTTTTTTATAAAGCGCTATTTTCCTCATTAAAAACCCTTTCACCGTGTTCTTTTCTGGAAAGTCGCCGATGGAATTCAAGTTTTATCTTAAGGCACTAGTGTAGATGCCACAAGATGGCGCCTAAATATAACACAAAGGTCACTTCAACATAGTTGCTTGGCATCAAGATACCACCAGGGGACCAAACAAAGCAATTTGGTTTCTAATTAGTGTGTGTGTGTGTGTTTAGGTTTCATGTCGGTGACACACAAACATCCCGACTTGATGCGAGACCCCAACATCTGTAGCATCAAACATGTGGATTAACCCCACCTCCTTTTGTCCATCACTGGCCAATAAATGTAAATAAAGTCCAAAACTGCCATCTTTCTTGCTGGCACGTCATCATTTTGTGGCATCACCCTTGCACCGCTTCCTCCTGCTGGCCAGCAGCGTGCCGGCTGTCCTTTTCCCAGCCGCGATTGGTCGCAGAGGGCGGAGCTTCATCTCGGCACACGCGGCATCCGGCACGGGGAAGGCATCCAATGTTAACGTGCAGGAGCCGAAGAGCGGCGAGCGGGCCAAGAGCGCGTGGATGGCCAGCTGGAGGCGGGCATTCCTTTTCACGATCGGCTCGCCCTCTGCTGGGGACAGGAAATAGGAAGTGCATCATGTTCACGTTGACCACATTCTCTTCATCGCCACATTCAATATGAAGGTTAAGGTTTGAGGGTAAAACGGTGCAAATGAGATCTTGGGATGACTTCATGAATGCTCCGAGTGCGCACGGCTTTCAGCGGGTTGTTTCAATGTGCCGCTCGGTTGTTCAGAGTGCCGCTGCGTGCTCCAAGCAGGGACACGGTGCATCCGGCAGTACCGATGGAAATAGTTCAAGCATGAGCTGCTGATTGTTTTAGAACACAGACTGCGTTCAGAAATGAATGGGATGCAGCTTTTTTTTTTTTACCTTTGCTGGTTATTGCCGACTTGCTGTTGCTGAGCTTCTTCCTGAGTGCGCAAACATCGGCAAGCGTCTTCTGCACGGCATGCTCGCTGTCCATCACGGCACCACATGCCCTCTAATTGGTCCAGGGAGAGAAAGGAAGTGGGAGGGTGAGAAAGCGATGGACAGAAATCAGCTTGGGAATAGTTCCTGGTTCGGTTTTAACTATGTCAGGATTTGTCTGTTCTATTCAACGTTTGAGGTCAATTTTAATCTGGTGGCTCCAGGCCTACTTTCTAAAAATCAACAGCTCACCTGAAGCTCGTCCTGCAGCGACTTGTTCATGGTGTTGACGGCGTCCATGTATGCCAACTGACCGCTGGAGTCCAACAACTTGGAACTTGGAAAGAAAACAAACTCACAAGCTCCACCCACATCTGCATGCGAGTGTATGTGAGCCTGCATTACCTGTGCCGGCCAATAGCACGCCGGTAGCCTGGCGCCGAGTACGGTGGGGAGGCCGTCCAATAGGCCTGATGGTCCAGCGACGCCATGTTGGTGACAACCACGGCGACCTGCCTTCACGCCACAGTGATGACATCACATCAGAATGACATCTTCACACCACTGTGACATCATCACCTGTCGCCGGAGAGGAAGGCGGCGTATTCGGTGCGGTGGGTAGAGCCGGCCTCTGTCAGAGCGGCGGGCGTCACCAGCAGGAAGATGGCGTGTGGCATGCGCAGCGCCGCCTTCAGGTTCTCGTGCACCGCCTTCTCGCGCATCGTCATTCGCTGCTCCGAGTTCCTGCGTTGGCGGTACCAGCCAATCACACGTTCAGGATGGTTGGCCCCCAGGAGCCTGCGGATCGCCTCCATGTCCACCCTTCCTGCTGCGTCATACCAGCTATGCGCATGCATATGCACATATAAAGACACACACACATAAACACACACTGCCATCATGTCATGGGATTTTTTTTTCTGGCCCCAGTCATGTCATGTGACAATTAGGACTCACGTGTGGAGTTTGTGGCAACAGACGTGTTTGTGGATGCCTGCAACACATCAGATGAGCTATGACGTCACGGGAGAAGAAAGTGGATGTTGTTTCTGATTTCACAAGTACTCATTTTAAGCCATGAGTTTTGCACAATGTGTGCAATACCACTTTGTGCCACAACATGCCAAGGCAGCATTGAGTTTTACTGGAAGAAATGCAGCATTACCACGACCGATTTTATTATTTTTTATTATATTTTGATTTCAAAATGCACAACTGTGAAATAATTCAAAGTTCAAAATCACTTTGAAATCTACAGTTTGCTAATTCCACCCCCCCCCCACACACACACACGGTTTCAAATGGTATATGTGATATGTTAGCACGAAGCTAATGAGACATCTATTTTATACGATTTTTTTGTTTTTTGTATGGTGAATTTTCAGCGATTGCGTTTTTGTGTGGGTGTGGAGCGGAGCTCAGCACGCGTTCGTGGAGTTGTGCTTACTCGAAGTTTGTCGGAGGTGGACGTGGTCCTCTCGGTTGTCGCTGATAGTCACGTACTCTTCGACGTGGTTCTCGCCCAGGATCAAACCTTCCTGCTCAACAGACCGACACCAAATTCAGCTCGCCCCGATGCTCACAAATGCTCTTTCACACACGTCACGATATTAGAACACGCCATTGCGAGCAAAGGTGCAAAGTCTTAAGAGCAAAGCTGAAATGAAAAAAAACATGGTGCTAACCGGGTAAACACTGATGCTATCTCGGCTTGGACACCGCGAGCAGCTCCGACACCAAGATGACAAATGTTCGGCTGTTTACTCACCACGTCCGAGTCTTCGTTGACGTGCTGAAACATTAAAGAAGTCAAAACTATCCCGGAGATCCGAACTGTGGGCTCCGCCATCTTCTTTGCGTGGTTGGGATCATTCGAGTGCGTCATTGAACCGCAAAAGAAACGCAGTCAACGCTGCGCTGCGTATATGTTTTTACAAATAGATTGTCTTTCGTAGATGGAGTTTTTTTTTTAAGTTAGAAGGTGTATGCCCTCTATAAAATAAGCTTAGTTTTCGAATAAAATAATCAGGTCTTCAACTTTACTCATGCAGCGCGTAAGCAAAAACCGCAGCTGTAACCTCAGATCCAACGTAAAAAAAGGACGACAAGAAATGGACTAAAAAATATTTTCCAAATTTAAAACTAATAAGAAAAATATGACATTAACCATTAAATAAATACATACACAAATATTATGTTGAACTAATTCTACAAAAAGAGGTCTTGTCACATTTAGTTTTGGTATAGGCTTCAAAAGAGATGCAGATTTTTTTAATGAAAAGAAAAAAACAAGAGGCATTATCATAAAAAATAATTCTAAAATATAAATACTATAAATAATAGTAAAAAATATATAAACGTCAAATAAATAAATAACCGTATCCGTATATTTATTAATTTCCCGAATAATTAAATATGTATAGAAATAAAAATCAACCAAGAAATTATTTAATGAGATAAATGAAAGAAAAACTGAAAATACAAAAAGAGGTCTTGTCACATTTAGGTTTGGCATTTTTAATGAAAAAAAAACAAGAGGCATTATCATAAAAAATAATTCTAAAATATAAATACTATAAATAATAGTAAAAAATATACAAACGAAAATTAAAAAAAAATACAGACTAATTCTCTTTGAAACTCACTGCGTATGTTTGAGCGTTTTAGATTCAGCAGATGGCGCCACACAAACGTCAAATAAATAAATACCCGTATCCGTATATTTGTTAATTTCCCGAATAATTAAATATGTATGTATAGAAATAAAAATCAACCAAGCAATTATTTAATGAGATAAATGAAAGAAAAACTGAAAATGACTCAACATAGTCGAACAACAAAAAAAATATTGAAAAATTAAAAAAAAAATACAGACTAAAATTCTCTTCAAAAATCACTGCGTGTGTTTGAGCGTTTTAGATTCAGCAGATGGCGCCACAACACCACACATGGGTCACATGACGTCTGCTTGCGTGACATGACAAATGATTGTGTGGCGGTCTTGAATTTTC